AGCTGATGGTTTTTCCTGAGTGTCTGCTGCATGGTCCAAGTGAGGCTTTGGTCATTGCTTGAAATGCAGTTGAGGCTTTGGATCAGATCGTGCCCATGCAACCTCTCTCTTCCCATGGATCCCGTCACTCCCTGTGGTTTATGGAAGCATTGAAGGAAATGAAATGGGAGATGTCTAGAGTGTCGCTGGAGGTCAACGAAGGATGAACTCAGCCAAACATGGGTACAAGCCGCTATTAAGGCCTACCTTGTAGTGGTAAGAGCGGTGAAGCAACAATACTTCTTCACCCTTGTTATGTCCATGGATAGCCAACCAATGGCCTTATTTTGAGTAACCCAAGCCCTTCTGGGCAAGGGGGCATTGGAGATTTATCTAAAAGGCTGTGCGAAGGAATTTTCAGAGCACCTGTTGGACAAAATTGCTCAAATGCATTCCCAGTTAGATGACAGTCTTGGTGCAGGTCCTGTGGAGTTGCCTCCGGCACAGTCTTACCCTGTTATCTAGGAATGGTTTGAACCTGTTGGGTCTGAGGAAGTGGACAGAGCCTTTATGGCTATGAGCTCAGCCACTGCTGATTAAATCCATGCCTCTCCTGGTTGGCTAAAGCTGCCCGGGGGTGGCATTTGGTTGGGTTCTAGTTGGTCCTCCTCCTCATTGGTTTATCCCCTCCTTAAGAAGCCAACGCTGGATCCCACTATGCTGGACAATTTTCACTGTCCAACCTCCTTTTTTTAGGGAAGGTTGTGGAGAAGATGGTCACAGAACAATTTCAGCAAACCCTGGATTAAGTGGATTATCTGGATCACTTTCAGTTGGAATTCAGGCCTGGACATGGGACAGAAACAGCACTGGCCATGTTTTTGGAAGATCTCTGGTGGGAGTGGAATGGGATAGTGCTTCCATCCTGGCTCTGCTTGACCTCTTGGAGACTTTTGATATCATCAACCATGGTACTTTTCTGGATCAGCTCCAGAGGTTGGGAGTGGCAGCACTGTATTATGCTGGTTCTCTTCCTTTCTACAGGGCAAATACCAGTTGGTGTTGATCAGGAGTGAGAGATCCTGCCCTCAGCCCCTACTATTTGTGGTACCGTAGGGTTTGGTGTTCTCTCCACTCCTGTTTAACATCTACATGAAACTGCTGGAGGAGATAATTACCATGGGGTGAGATATTATCAGTATACTAATGCTACTCAGTTGTATTTTTCTGCCCTGGCAAACTAAGCAATGCTGTTGAAGCCCTGTCCCGGTGCCTGGAGGCTGTGGGGGTTTGAATGGGGAATAACAGACCTCAACTGAACCCTGGCAAGGCTGAGTGGCTTTGGTTTTGGGGGCCATCCAAATCTGGTACTTTATCATCTTTGGTACTGGATGGGGTGGCACTGCCCAAACAGGCCCGATGCACAACCTGGGGCCCCTTCTGGATTCACAACTCCTGGTCAAGGAGTGGCAGTTGTGGCAGGAGGGCCTTTGCGCAACTTTGGGTTGTGTGCCAGTTGCGCCTGGATTGTGAGGCCCTGCTTGTAGTTACTCTTGCCCTTGTCACCTCCTGTATGGACTACTGTAATGCGCTATCAGGCTGCCCTCAAAAAGTATCTGGAAACTTCAGCTGGTGCAAAATGCAGCAGCATGGGCAGTTATATGTACCCCTAGGAGGACACGTTACACCTCTGCTCTGTGAGCTCCATTGGTTATCAGTTTGCTTCCAAATCCAATTTCAGGTGCTAGTTTTGACCTTTAAAGCCCTACATGGCATGGGGCCAGGTTATCAGAGGGACCACCTCTCCCTGATTACATCTACTCATCCCATCAGGTCCAGCAAGTTGTGGGTCCCATCTGTTAAGAATTTCATCTGATGGGACCGAGGAGATGAGCCTTTTCTGTTGCTAACCCCAATCCTTGAGGCCTTCTGGAAATCTGTTAAAATGTGGATCCCAAGGCAATAGGGAGCCTGTGCACTGATCGCATCATGTGTAACATCTTGATGTATTCCCCTCACAATCTTGTTTTATGTATGTTTCATTGTTTTAATTTGGTTTTGTAAAATGTTTCATTTTTGGTTTTATTGTACACTGCCGAGAGTTGCTTTGTATGAGATGGGAAGCTACTGTATATAAATTTGATAAATAAGAATCCATACGTCTTTGTTGTTTCCCCTTCCTTGTGTTCCTTGTGTTCTTCCCCAAATACTCTTGACTGGACCTTCCTGCTCAAATTCCTAGACTAAAATACTTGTACGCAGTTCCTTCAAACATAATGCTACTACTCCTTCCCTTTTGCCTTATTCATTTTGAATATGTTATACCTGTCAATATGTTATACCTGTCCTTACATTCTACCCATGAGTTTCATTGCAATAAGTTTCAGCAATGCACAAAAGTACTAAATTATTTTCATCTTCTTGCATTAAGACTCCTAGTTTTTCCTGTTTGTCCCCCATATTCTGTGCATTTGTAGATACATGGAATCTTGGGTCACATAACTTCACTTACTCCTACTCCTTCCTGTATTTGTATCCTTTTTATTGAGTGCCTCCATATTTTATATAGCCTCTCAGTTCCATTCACAAAATGAATTCCATACAAGTATAAATGGTTTAAAAAAGGAAAAAAAAATCACGTACAGGCATCTGATGAAATGGAACTCCCCCTTTCCATGATGTAGACTTCCCAATTTAATATTTTTAATAGAATTAAAAAAACAAGTCAGTCAAACAGAGAAGGGAGCTGGTAAGCATCAAGATCATGAACGCCACATGGCAAAATTGTATAGGCTGTTGTAGAGATAAACTATTGCATCCTTACAGACTAAGGTTTTTGACATCCATTTTGCTTATGTAATTCTGCATTAAAAGCTGATGTAAAAGATCTCCATTTACTTGTTACGGTGTTTCTTTTTTTAACAATTTATGCATGAGAAATATTGTGCTATAAAGTTGTGTTTAAATGCTCGATCTGACAAGCATCTGATCAGATAAATTTCTTTCTTTCACAAACTCCACTGAACTTTCTTAGGACATAATTAAAACCAATTTTTAAAAATAACTATGTTTTATAATGTGAGCTGAATGAATAATGTACATGGCATTTCAGTGACTTAAAACACATAATAGCATGTTCCTCATAGTGTGGCAAACAGGATACTGTATTTTACATCTGGAATAATTCATTTTCATTATCTCTACACTGATGTTCATAACTCCAAGGAATTTACTTTTTATGCATGGCTTGAAATGAATTCAAACATGTAACACTGTTATACAGTAATTTACAATAGTACTGAATTATTTTAGCTTTAAACAAGGAGTTAAACATCACATTACTGACCATATGCTTTAATGATTTTGAATAAAAAAATATGGACTGTTATGTACATTGTTAAAATAAGAATTTGTAACAATTTTTAGATTTACTGTGATGGAAAACCAACCTAGCAGAACTTGACATTGTTGCTAGAAGCTGGGCCCACTGAAAAAGAAACACCAAAAATAAAAATAAAAAAATGAAGCAGTTTTAATTACTGTATATAGTTCTATTTACAAAGCCGTGTTCAATAAATTAAACTCATGCTTCAAATAATATTTCTCTAAATGGAGAAACAAAGGTTTGGTTGGGTATTTATTAAAAAAATAAAAAATAGACCCCCACAATCATTAAAACACCCATAACTACTTTGGCTGTTTTTTTATACATTAGGAAAAATAATTAGGTAAGGTGCCTGAAACTATTTTATGATGGCCTGAATATAAGCACATGATCTCCTTATACTGCATGTATTCTCTTTTTCAAAAAGACATAGGAAGAATTTGAGACCTTCCAAAAGTCTTACAATTTTCTATTAAAAACAGAAGGGATTTGGTTGTCATTATTAATGTTATACATTTTTGTTACTGCAAGCCTCCTTTGCATGTTTTTAAACAAAACTACGCCAGGCAAGAATCCCAGGGTTGGAAGGGACCTTGGAGGACTTCTAGTCCAACCCCTTGCCAAGGGCAGGAATCCTCAGCCCGTCCTGGACAAATGGCCATCCAACCTTTCTTTCAAAACCTCCAGTGATAGAGTGCCCACAACTCCAGGAGGCAGGCTGTTCCATGGCTTAATAGCTCTCACTAGCATGGCTGGACTTCAAATGTATAGTGGAGTGGGATGAAATTGCTGAAATTTCCTTTTTGTTTGTTTGTCTTTTCTTCTTCTTTGCATGCTAATCTTTAGGCCAATATTCTTTATGCCAATATTCACAACACTGGCATAAAAATTCACAATATTAATCTTTATGCCAATATTCACAAATATTATTAAAAGTTTTGAATCCCATCTTATTTTTTTATGTGAGTGAAGCCTTTCCACTGGCTTCAAAAGTTACTGAAGGATCTCTCTACAATATATTCCAGACATACGTTTTGAAAGTATGACTAAAAGAGATATAAGGAATTAACTGTGCTGCCAGGAACAAAAAATAAAGTATTTAAAATTAAAGGAAATTTATGACATTTCTAGTCTTCAATAGCATAGTCTTTCAAGAGCCAACCTTCAACAAGTTTTTGTTTTAACTGCTAGGCTGAATAGTTCATCTATATATGGGAGGAGATACATGGAATAATTTTAGCTGTTTAAGAAGTTTTATGTACCCTGCCACCTTTTTCTTCTTCCATTCGTAGCACAAGGATGAAAGGAGGCTGAATATAATATAAAAAATATCCAACTAATTTAAAATAAAACAAACACTATACCTTTCTGGTATGAAACACAATTTATTGATAAGGGAAAAAAGTAGCAATAGTCTGTTCTGAAAACTTATAAGGAAATAGAGTAAATTCTCCACTAAACATTAAAGCAAATGGGAGTAGATTCAGCGTACTGACTTGAATTTACAGAAGGGAGGTAACTACAAATTAAGTACTCAGTAAAATAGAATAAAACAGTTGCTTTTGCAATAAATTTATAGTAGGTGAATTCTCAGTGAGAGGGAGACAGAGGGCCAGAAGAAGCCTTTTTATGCACCATGTGGTAGAATGAATGCAGTACAGAATACTTTAAAGTGTATGAAGACTAGAGATACACAGTTCCTTGAATCCTCTTGCATAAAGCCTTTACAAAATCACATAAATCGTAATATGAGTTTATGAATTTGCAGTCTAATCTGGAATACTTGGCAACCTGTAGTACAAATGAGAACACTACATATTTCAAAGCATACGTTTCTCGTGACTGCAGGCCATAGAATATGGGGGGAGGGGATGGTTTATCAAAACTGACATAGGTTGATTCCTAGCTTGATGAATATTAAAGAACTACATTCAACAGCATAAATGTTGGGACTTATGCCACTAAAACTCAACTTGGCCTTTGCATTTAAAAGTATTTTAAAGAAGAGGAAAAGAGAAAAAGATACTTGCACTACAATACTGATCACCAAAGAACACAAAGAATTACAATATATACATCAGATTTACTAACAGCAAGTGGGTGGATGGGACTTTTGTGACCATCTGAATTTGTTCAAAATCAAACTTTTATTTAGGAAAAAAAGACTAATTTCTATTTTTTTAAAAAAATGTTATTCTAAGAATATTTGTTCACTCAAGACCACATCCACTCATATTTAGACTATATAGGCATAAATAAAGCTTATACAAATTGTTTTCTTTAATCTATTTCTGTTTTGTGTATTTATCATAGAAAATGTCAAAATACAGTCATGTGAAAAAGTAAGTACACCCTATTGATTTTTTTTTAACTTTTTTACAACATACATACATTTGATCTTCATTTCAACAATACCGATAGATAAAGGGGATATCACATAACAAACATCAGGCCCTATTTACATTTTGTAGTCCATTGTGTAATTTAAATAAATATAAATTCAAATTTTACATGTGGAGAAGTTAAGAACACCTCTACTTTTATCACTACCTCAAATATCTAAAACTAAAAAAATGCAAATGATTAGAAAATCATTAGAGAAGACTGGGAGGAACACCTATTTAAATCCCAGATATTTAATTTGATCTACCCTTTGTTGTTGAAGTGTGTGGTATCATTACGCCAAGATCGCAAGCGCACTTTGAGGCATTCATAAAGAAGGCTATAGTTACCTATGTGTCTGGGAAGGGATTTAAAAAGGTCACCAAACAATTGGATATCAACAACCCCACTGTTCAGAAGATCATCTGCAAGTGGAGAAGCTTTTAAACAACTGCCAACTTGCCCTGGTCAAGCTGTCCCTGCATGTTCATCCTGAGAGCAGAACACAAGATGCTGAAAGAATTCTCTAAGAACCCCAGAATTTCACTATGTGACCTACTGGAAGCTCTCATCACTATTGATGTCGAAGTGCACGAGTCTACTATTAGAAAGAAACTGCACAAATTAGATCTACATGAGAGGTGTGCCACAGAGGAAACCTTTACTGTCCAGAAAGAACATTAGGGCAAGACTAAAGTTAGTTTACAAACACTTAGTAGGCAAAGACCAGAATTCATGGAACAATGCACTCTGGATACACACAAGCCAAAGATAGTTATTTGGCCACCATAACAGAAGACATGTTTGGCGCGAATCAAAGACAGCATTTCACCAGAAAAACCTGATACCAACTAGAAAGCATGGTGGTGGTTTGGGCTGCTTTACTGCATCAGTGCCTGGGCAGCTCACCATCACAGAATCCACGATGAATACTTCACTGTATCAGAGAGTGCTTAAGAATAATGTGACACCATCTGTCAGAAGACTGAAGCTCTACCAGAAGTGGACCCTGCACATGACAATGACCCTAAACATTCTGGTAAATCCACCAAGGATTGGCTGGAAAATAAAATAAAATAAAATAAAATAAAATAAAATAAAATAAAATAAAATAAAATAAAATAAAATAAAATAAAATAAAATAAAATAAGAGTTCGGGAATGTCCAAGTGAAAGCCCAGATCTAAATCCCACCGAGATGCTATGGGATGATTTGAAATGGGCTGTGCATGCAAGAAACCCCCCAAACATCACACAGCTGAAAAAATTCTCCATGGAGAAGTGGGAAAAAATTCCTTCCAGTCGATATCAGAGACTGGTATGCAATTATAAGAAATGCCCACTTGAGGTTGTTTCTGCCAAAGGAGACACTACTAGGTATTAGAGCCAAGGGTGTAGTTACTTTTTTCCCAGAAGGAAATGCCATATCTGTTTTTTGTTGAATAAATGATTGCAAAGTCATTTTTAAAAATTCATTTACATCACCTTTATATATTGTTTGAGTGAAGACAAAATATTGATATGTCCACATATTTTTTTTTAAAAAAAAACTTTACATGGGGTGTACTTACTTTTTCACATGACTGTATAGATTGGGAATGCAATTGTTTTCAGAGGACAGTGAGTAAAAATCCAAGAAAGAAAACCATACAATCCATCATGCAGTACAAATATTTGTATAAGTGGTCCCATAGAAATCTGTTCTGTGACCTTGAGATACTTTCAAACATCCCAGTGCTGGCTTAAAATGGGGCTGAGGTTCACCAATGTTCAAGCTGTGAGGGGGGGGGGGGAAGGCAGTCCAATCCCAAACAGAAAATAAATAAATAAAAAATATTTCTGGAAGGAAAGGAGAACTGCTAACCTTTGAGCAACCCCCACTTCAGACTTTCAGCACTGCAACCTTTTCTAAAATAAGGATGTGTTGAGGATTGCTATTCCCTATAAGCAGTTGCTGTTTAGTGATACCAAAACTGAAAGCAGAACAAAAACAAAGAAGCAAACAAGTGAAGGGAAAAAAAAACCCTTGGCCCAGAGGTGACGGCAGCCAACGTATCAAGGTTGTGATGTCCAAAAGTAGTCTCTCATGAAGTTTGGTCTGTATGCAAAACAGCATTTTCCAGATCATTCTGAGAAGTGCAGCACTAAAGAGAGTGGATGGAGAGTGTCTTGTTTTTTGCTCTCATCCACCTGCAAGGAAGGGAAGGGGGAAACCTCACGTGCATACACTTACTTCTCTTTTATTACTACAGCTGCTGTGACTATAAAGTTACATCAGGTGAGTCATTACAGCACTTTTCCAAACATGCAAAACAACTAATTTCCTGATTTTCTTTCTCTTTGAGTAGTGCATCTTCAAGGCCACGGTGTATCAACAAAAGTCTCTCTTCACTTGTTTCCATGTCCATATTGGATTCAATTACCTCACATCAAGTGCTGGAAAATAAACACAAAATCCTTATTCAAAATCTGAGCTTTTTCCTTTTTAATTCTTTTTACAATTACACTGAGCATCTTACTCATGAATTACTTTTATATTTCCAAAATGAAAGGAAAGGTGAAAGGACAACTGTAACACCACCATTTCATAGGAAAATCTCTATGTAAAATTGCACATTTTCACAACTATTTTCAGTTCCCCAACAGTTATTTATTTATTACATTTGTATAGCCACCCATCTCACACAAAGTGACTCTGGGCAGTGTACAACAATTGAATAAAATAACAAAATATATAAACCCCACAGAGAGAGCAGAATATCAATCATAGTGGAGCCATCTAAGAATGTCTCCGGTTCCCAAAGCCCCCCAGGCCTGATGACATAACCAGGTCTTGAGGGACTTCCTAAATGACAGTAGGGAAGGGGCGAGCCTAACTTCAGGGGAGAGAATGTTCCGCAAGGAGGGAGCCATGGCAGAGAAGGCCCACCTCTTGGGACCCACCAAATACAAGTCCCTGGCTGTTGGAACATGTAGCATATCTTCCCTGCCAGATCTAATGCGATGGGGTAATGTGATCGGGGAGAGGTGGTCCCTCAAATAACCTGGTCCCATGACATGAAGGGCTTTAAAGGTCAAAACCAGCACCTTGAATTGGACCCGGAAGCAGACTGGCAGCCAATGCAGCCCGTGAAGCAGAGACATAATATGTGCTCTTCTAGGAGCACACATAACTGCCCACGCCACCACATTCTGCACCAGTTGAAGCTTCCAGATAATCTTTAAGGACAGCCCAATGTAGAACGCATTGCATTGTAATTCAATCAGGAAGTGACTAGGACATGAGTGACTGTGAGCAGAACCTCCCAATCCAGGAAGGGGCACAATTGGTGCACAACATGAAGCTGTGCGAAGACCCTCCTAGCCATGACTGCCACCTGCTCTTCAGGCAAGAGTCACAAGTCTAGGAGGACCCCCAAATTGCACACTGGGTCTGTCTGGGGCAGTGCCATCCCATCCAGCACCAAAGATGGTATAGCCCCAGAACTGACAGGTCCCCAAATAAAAAGCCATTCAGTCTTTCCCCATCCAGACCCTCACAGCCTCCAGACACCAGGATAAGACATTCACAGCATCACTTAATTCACCAGGGGTAGAGATGCATAGTTGGGTATCATCAGCATACTGATGATACCTGACTCTGTGGCGACGGATGAGCTCACCCAGGGGGTCTCGTGTAGATATTGAATAGGAGAGGGGAGAGCACTGAACCCTGTGGCACCCCACATAGTAGGGCCAAGGGCGGGACCTCTCCTTTTCAATCATCACCAACTGGAATCGTCCCTGGAGAAAGCAGGCAAACTAGCACAGCACTGTGCCGCCCACCCCCAGCCCGAGCCGATCCAGAAGGATAACATGGTTGATGGTATCAAAAGCCGCCGAGAGGTCAAGTAGGGCAAGGATGGAAGCACAATCTCCATCCCACCCATGCCAGGGATCATTTAAAAGTGTGACCAATGCTGTTTCTGTCCCATACCCAGGTCTGAATCCTGACTGAAAAGGATCCAGATAAT